TGTATTATGAGATGCTCCCGCAAAGACATACCGCTACCGGCAGCATTTACGCCAGTCAGCTCCAGAAACTAGCGGACGCTGTTCAAGAAAAACGACCGAGACGAACTTCTGTCCACCTACTCCACGATGACGCCAGGCCCCACATAGCTAAAGAGACCCGTGCAAAATTGGAAGAGCTGATCTGGGACGCGGTTCCCCACCCACCCTATTCCCCTGACATTGCCCTCTCTGATTATCACTTACTTCATCCCCTTAAGGCATTCCTAGCGAAGAAAAAATTCACCAAAGTTGAAGACGTTGAAAGAGCGGTCAGCGATTTCTTTGACTCTCAGTCTGCTCAGTTCTGGGAGAAGGGGGTCGCTGACCTGCCCTGTAGTGAGTAACAATGGTGATTATATTGTTGAGTAGATTCCATTGTACGCGGAATAAAAAAGTAAAGCACAAAAAAGTGTCAAACGGCTCAGGACTTTCTTACCATCCTAATAGTAGCATTGTAGGTGAAGATACAGATAAGTTGGTCTCAAAATTTCAAAAGTTGGTCGTTTATTTAGAGAAAACCACAGGTGTGAATGTTGAGGATTTCTCTAGACGAAGCGATACTCCAACTTGGTGACTGTAGCGTAGATTCGGTTGTAGGTTATAATAGGGACAAGGTTCGAAAGCGATTTGAGTACAGTGCCGGCATCGTCCTTTGAGCAAAACCTTAACGAGGTTATTAGTAGATACTACGTAATGCACAGGTTTTTAACAATCTTATCATTCACATGCCTGTAACCAGTGCGGCGTTGATCCGGATGTGTTTTGATCTCAACTCCTGCATAAGTGCATCCATCAACGGCAATTCCATCAGGGAAGTCCACAAATTTCACTTCAATCTTTTTACCGGCTGGTGCCTTAAGATTCAATCTTGAGCTCGACTCTATACAGCTGCTTTGTAGGAACTTTGTACCTTTATCCAATAGTTGCATTTCATGAAATCTTCTCGCGGAGTAAGGCCAGCTTTCGGTCTCCTAGATCGTCTACAAGCGGTTTCCACTCCTTTGGTCGCTTCTAGTTCTGCACCGCAACCTGGTGGCTAAAAAAATTTTCAGGAATTTCGTCGGTTAGTTCACAAGAGGACAGTTACCCTTTTCTCACAGAACTGTCCACCGTATCCACTAGGGCAAGATGCATTTGGAGCAATCACGAGGATGAGCGAATCCATTATTTTGGCACGGTGTGTTCTTACCTTTGCATGCGTCTAAAACAGTATTCTTTTGAGCACGTGAACGAGCAAAAATCATCTGAAGATTCTACTTACCTGTGCAATTATAGTGCGTGTTAATCATGAGCAGTCGTAGTAAGAAATGAAGGGTGATCCTAGAGTCTCCGTGTACAACACATCCTTTGGCACCATGGTAGGCTTTTTGTTTCCAGTGGCGCTGAAAATTGATTCATCGCTTCATAGTTCGCAGTCATCCCTCCATAAGTATCCGACCTTGTGGCTCCGTAGTGCATCAGGCTACCGTAGTCATATGTTAAACCATAATTGTTATTGTTATGATTGTCTCCCGTGTGAATTGGATCGAGCCAATCAGGCTGAAGTTACCAGCAATGTAAAGATGAATGGTCTTGCAGCATTTGCTCATTACCTTGATATTTTGTTCATCAACAGTGATAAATTGGTCACGGTCATATCTTGCGTGCGTATGGAAGAATCCAAGGGCATGACCAATTTCGTGAGCAGCGGTTCCAACCTGAAACAGGAGAAAATACGCCAAGCAATTTATAATTAATGAAATTTAGCAAGTGAACTATTTTTCTTACACCTCACATATATATGTCATAGTATATCAGTTTTTATGGAAACCTTCCCAAAATCATACCGATTCACAGCCTTGGACCCAGGGAGAGATTCTGCACACCACCAAGTTCTACCAACGAAGGACCAACATCCGTCCTCCGCAAACACTCGAATGCTGTCTTCCGCTGAAACTCCTACGTACAGCGGAGTTCCTGCTACTGTTTCCAACTTATTCAAAGCATTACCGAATTTGGCTCGGTATGAAGTTGATACATGTATCAGACATCCATTGTTGTGCAGCTTTTTTGAATACGCTTGAACCTGGGCACCTGAATGCAACGAAGACTAGTCTATAAGAGATAGACATGAGAAAAAACTGTAAGATTGATCTCTGACTTGCGCTATCGTCGAAGAAATAGGAAACTCCCTTGAACCATCTTCTACCAGGATAGCCTCTTTCATACATAGTTTGCCGTTTTGAACGGGTTCCCAATACGTCCGCAGTAATTTGTTCCTGTTGCTCTCTAGATATTATAAGATACAAATATTCTAAGTTTGGTATGCGAAAAATTGAAAATACAAACTTTGAAAGGACCATATCTCCCTGGAAGAGTGCGCCTGCAATTTTGCTCATTATATTGATCTCTTCAATCGAGTCTCCCGTCGGTAAAACTTTATCAATAGTTTTTCTTTTCAACATCTGAAACATTTCAAACACATCAATTAAGATTAGGGGAAAACGTATGCTGCTGCCAACCTTCAGTCTTTCTACAAGCTCTTTCTTTGCTCCTTTGACAAGTGAAGTTTCTGCAGTATCTTTTCCTTGTATCCGCTCAATTTTTTTCGGAAATCGGCCATGCTGCTACTGAAAGCCTGCAAAGATAATCAGCCATTTTATATTCGATACATTTCTATGATTGTGAAGTTTTGTCTACCTCCTTAATGCGATCCATAGTCTTTTTTATTTTTTGTTCACTTCGTGTTTGATGAGCCCTTTGAGGCTTTCGCCCACGAGCGACTTTTTGAGGTCGAACAAGTCAGCGCTCACGCATGCGGCCACAAGTAAGGTGAGTACATAATCCTCATTCTACAATGTACAACATGAGAACTTCAGTAGGGACGAAAATGTTACAAATGAGAAAACTGCTCAGGGATGCTGCTGTTTCATCCCTTCATATTTGTGCAGTACTTCAGACTTTGAAGTTGACATTGTGAGAGTGATTCGACGTCGTGGCATATCGGGCAATACGAAAAAAGTGCTTTCCCAGCCGCTGCGAAAGCCACACAATTGTAGTGCAATTAGAATATTGTTCAGAATTGTGGTATTTTAAAATGATGATTGAAAGCACCGGTAAAGCACCTGGAATTCTGAGATGAGGGCAACGTGGTGGCGATGACACCGATAATTTCCTTCTACAATGGCGTGCTAGTCAGATGAGTATTTCTTATAATAACCTCCTCAGGTGAACAGCTCGCTGACAACGTAAGAATTAGCAATAATTCAAATGAGGATTGAAACCAACTCTATGCAGAAGAGCGCTCACGGTACTCGCAGCACAACTTTAGAAATTCAGAAAGATTCTGTATTTGTTCCATTATGACGCAGCTTAAAATAAAGTAAATGTTTTCAAAATTGAAGATAAAGAAATACTCATCTGACTAGCACGCCATTGTAAGAGGAAATTATTGGTATCATCGCCACTACGTTGCTCTCATCTGAGAATTCTAGCTGCTTTACCGGTGCTTTCAATCATCATTTTAAAATACCACAATTCTGAACAATATTCTAATTGCACTACAATTGTGTGGCTTTCGCAGCGGCTGGGAAAGCACTTTTTTTCGTATTGCCCGATATGCCACGACGTCGAATCACTCTCACAATGTCAACTTCAAAGTCTGAAGTACTGCACAAATATGAAGGGATGAAACAGCAGCATCCCTGAGCAGTTTTCTCATTTGTAACATTTTCGTCCCTACTGAAGTTCTCATGTTGTACATTGTAGAATGAGGATTGGTGTACTCACCTTACTTGTGGCCAAATCTTAAGGCACCACCCGGTAGAAAGATTGAAGTGAAATTTGTGGACTTCCCTGATGGAATTGCCGTTGATGGATGCACTTATGCAGGAGTTGAGATCAAAACACATCCGGATCAACGCCGCACTGGTTACAGCCATGTAAATTATAAGATTGTTAAAAACCTGTGCAATACACTGTGCTCAAATCGTTTTCGAACCTTGTCCCTATTATAACCTACAACCGAATCTACGCTACAGTCACAAGGGGAGTATCGCTTCGTCTAGAGAAATCCTCAACATTCACATCTGTGATCTTCTCAAATAAACTACCAACTTTTGAAATTTTGAGACAAGGAATATCTATCTGTATCTTCAGCTATAATGCTACTACATAGAAATGAATGACCGCTCAAAATGTAAGTCTCTGTTTAGACTTCTTAACCTTTTAGCGACAATGGCACTCACCCTTGGGTGCCACTATGTTCGCCGCGTGGGACAATGGCACCCAATGGTGGGTGCCACCTTAAAATTTCCTTCTTTGTGCATTTAAAACATTTGTAACACCCCAATAATTATAAGCAAGTTCCATAATATCTATGACTAGCACGGCTTACAGAAAATTTATTAAGAGCTAATTTATATAGAATTTTAGAATGTGCCATTTAGCTCGCCAGCATATTAATTGGGGTTTTGCATTATTAGGCTGAAGATTAATTACTAATCAGGACTTCTTCGTCTTCTCATAGCCCTCAGATATGGGAAGGGGTTTGAAGTGTATCGAAAATTCTCTTGGACACTTAAACTTTTAGAGGTTTTGCCCTCCTTCCCTTAAAACGAGTTCCCTTCCAAATTTGGAATTCTCTTGAAAACAATATACAATATGGAAGCTTAGAACTGCATGTACTGGGTGGGCAAAAATTACGGTAACAAAGTAAAACAGTAATAAAAAAGCAATGTGGTCGAGAGGTCCCAAATTAAAATTACAATCATGTTGGTGGAAGATTATCAAACAGAAAGCAATATTGCCTTTGAAGTGACCGCTTTCTGTGTTAGAGGAATAAACGAAAGATTCCCTACTAAGTCACTTACCCTGTTGTGCTTAGGTCGCTGGTAGAGTATGTCCAAGGCTTTCAGGAGCGACTGCTCGACACCAGTCGATGCTCCTATTATGCTTATAGCAATGCTTTGCCTTCGGCACACTCAATACAGAAATTAGTGGTAGGACTAGCTGTTGGGAGAGCTATGTTGCCGCTTCCCAGTATGATGATTTCAAGCAATCGGGTTGCGTCCGATTTTTCGGGCATTGTGAATGGGCGCCCCGCTGATGATGTTCTGTGCTTCCCATTGAAGGTCCTTGCGGTATGAAGCATCAGCCGAGGTAGAAGGAGTTTGAAATGATTTTTACTATCCAGTTTTCTATCTTGAGCAGCAGAGGTCCGATGTGTCTTCGAATCGTGATTTCTGCTCTTGTGATTTCTGCGAAAGCCATCACTGAGTGGCTGAATGGCATTTCACTAGCATTGGTCCAGTTGCCCTTTTTATTCCAGAGTGGCCAGACAGCAGACCATCTTCCCACTAAGGGAAGCGATCGATAAATAAAGCTCATGACGGAATCCGTACAGTGACTTGTAGCATCTTTGCTTTCTATTCAATTTTCCCGAATCGGTTGTATGTTAAGCATTTTCATGATTGTAATCCTTTTTGTTAAGACGTGTGTGAACAAATCGTTGCAAGGAAGTGCGCTAGATAGCAGTTTCAGCGACAAAACGACGGAATGAACCAGCTAGCTTCCCAGCGCTTGTTCGCACGTATCTTCGAGATATTACTATTGGAAGTCGCGCAGAGGCAGGGATAGCCGAGTGGTTAAGAGGTTAGACTCATGTCTGCACCTCTGAAAACCGCGAGTTCGATCCCTGCCGAGGCTAAACCATGCCTTGCAAAAATTGCAAAAATGGTTCTAGTACCAGCGTCAGGCCCAGGTTGACAGGCCGGCTGATGAAGACCCCCGTCACAACAAATATGTCTAAAGTGATAAAGCTAGGACGTCACCCGGAAGTGGCGCGCAGAGACCCCCGCCCGAGTTCTGTGGTCAGTATGCGAGGGCTACCGAGGAGTGAACGGCCTCGGCCAAAGAAGCTAGTTCGAATAGGGACTCTAAACGTAGGATCACTAACTGGGAAGTCCCGAGAGGTTGCTGATCTGATGACGCGCAGGAAAATCCAAGTCCTATGCCTTCAGGAGACGCGATGGAAAGGTGCTAAGGCCAGGGAAATCGGGAAGGTGTCAAACTCTACTACAATGGGAAGACACCAAGCGGAACGGTTGTGGCCCAAATTGCATGGGCCTTTTTTGTCTTTGAAACCTACTTTAGTCAGAGCTTCGAATTTTATCCCATATACGAAGACATGTGGTCCCAAATACAGAATGACTATAGAGTGAATTAGCAAGAGCATACCTCGCAATTTTTATCCGAAACGCAATGGGCTTGCCTCTTGGCTGAATTCCTCCTCTTATTCTCAATTCTCTACGTAACCCTACATACCATTCGAAAGAAAGGTGTCTGTTCTACAAAACGATCTACCCTTTTCCACATTCAATGCAAACTCATTGGATCTCAGGGTAATAAAATGAGAGGTACAGACGCTAAAACTGGCCAAAACGACAACTAGCTCTAATGCTGCCCGCCGCGAAATGATTCGATTAGTATTATAGTGTCCCGAATGTTTGAAAAAATTCAGTCGGTTTTTGTTCAAAACAAAATTAAGAGCACAAACGTGGGATCAGCAATCAACATGGTGGCACTCTTTAGCTACGACGTCCATCTGAAGGCAGAGCATTGACGCCCTTCTTCCAGGAGCGGCGAGATCTGCATGCATATGCATGATCTTCTAAAGGTTCGAATTTTTTTTCCTTTGGTGTAGGCCTTAGGCTTATGAAAGCATGCTAGTCGCAAGACATGAGGTTAGGTGGACATATGGTGGATGGGTAGCCTTTGTGATGCCCATAGGTCTTCGCAGTCTTCAGTCGGCGTCCTCGCGTGGTGTGGTAAGGTGAACTATCTTGTGGTAGCAGAAGTACGATCCCCCCTCTGAAATAGGGGTCCTGGCACGACCCCCCCCCTGAAAGACAGCATACACAATAGAATCAATTAATATCATAAAAATTCATGCAAAATGATATTCTAGGCGCCGTCTCACTAACTTTGTGTGATTTCAAAGGCAGGTTCCTCAAGAAATGCATAGAAATCCTCAAGGCACGGGTTGCGATTGAATCCAAATTCCTGCTTGAGTATATCACAACGGCCGAGTGTATCGATAAACGTCCGATTCCAGCGGCGCCTGTGCCGATTTGCCTGCCGTGGCGGAAATGCCCCCCCCCCCCCCCCCCCCCCCCCCCCCCCCCCCCCCCCCCCCCCCCCCCCCCCCCCCCCCCCCCCCCCCCCCCCCCCCCCCCCACAAACACACCGAACACACACACCGATCACAAAGGTTCGTATAATCTATGCTCACCTTTCAAATAGCACGTGGTTGGGTTAGATAGGGCTAGATTTGCCACTACTAGGCAGTATTAAGATTGCTAACCTAAATCCATCTATTCGAAGAGATACTTTTCCCTCGAAATCCGTAAAGGGAGCGTCGAGTATGCCGAAATTTTTATGAGAACTTTTGTCGCTCAAAAGGCAATGTCTCTCTAATTTTGCAAGCTCTTGAGGAAATAAAAACAGTTTTGAAAAGCGGAAGGTATGCGCTCTTTCAAAATATGTTTACCTTCTTTCTATATTGTCTAGTTAAGGAGTGAATTGCGTCGAGGATTTATTAAGGATGATTCTCAGCCTTTCAAAAAGCCGCTCCCTTCTGCACCATGACAGGTGTAATTCGTTGGCAACGCTTGAAACGTGTCTAGTGTACTTTTTTTCAACATAAGCGAGAAAAAAGG